AAATTATCAGATATCTCACTGCAGTATTGCTCTGTTCATTCTTTTAAGACAAACTGGTTTCGGTGGACAGCGCAGCCTGTGTGAAACTCTCCTGTGAAGCCCCTGACACAGCGCCTGTAGACCTCCAGTGAAGCCCAGTTTCTATGGCAGATTCAAGGACACTGTGTTTTAATGGGAGCAAAGATTAATGCTCTTTGGACAACAGGCTTGTAATACGTCATTTTGAGTCCCACCCAGACACATGACTTCACTGGGAGTCAATGAATACTTCAGGGCTGGGTTTTACATAGAAAAAAAAATCTCACCATTTATTGAACAGCACTCTTCGCTTGTCCCGAAGAGATCTCTAAAAGGGGCGGAACCTTGTACACAACTGCCAAGCACTGAAACATTAATGAACATGATCGACATCTCAACTTAAACATATCAGTGCCAATTAGACTCGCAGTGTTCAGAGTCAATAAACAGTTTTACACACCTTATTATAGCTTATTATTCATTGTAATTGGTATATATTGTAAATAAATTGTAAGTATAAAGTTTGCATTTGTTTTTTGTTTATTTATAGGTCTGGATACCTAGCTGTCATGCCCTTCTTCAGTGAAACTGCACTAGTTCACAGCTTGGCTGGCAAACACTACTCATTTTGACTAGCTGATTTTGGAAAAGTCTTTTGATGCTCTTACATATGAGGAGAAAGTGAGAATTAAACAAGAGGCCAGACCAACAGATGAAACAGATAAACAGAACACACACACATACAGTATATTTACTTCAATAACAGAGACCTGTGCTTCTCCTGTTTGAAAAACCACCAACTGCCACTGCTGCTTATTTGTCATCATTCCTTGGGGTATTAAAAGTGTGAACTGCTGACTGTTTCCTTTCTGTCACACTCAGGTCAGTGCTTGTGCAGACAGGTTACATCCGTCTGTTCAGTAGTGTGAAATCAGCCTCCACTGCCATGTTGGACCCAGAGCCAGGCAGATAAATAGAGACAGCCAGCAGGATTAGACTGTTTTGTAGTGGCATGGAGCTATCCAAAAACTTGCTCAAAGCATGACATTTATTGCATACTTAGCTAGCAAAGTTTTTAGTATCTTTAAGCAGACTGACTGTTCAACTGAGCTCATAACTAACACACCACTTTTTTGTGAAAGAAACTGAAAAACAATCTGTGTTTGAAATGTGAATTTAGGGTGATTTGACCCCCCCTATCCCTACCCCTAAAAACATTATATAATATTAATGCAGCCACACAATAGTTAACCATCTGAACATTTGAACTTCACATTTTTAGTTAAAGCACTATGCAAATCCTAAAACAAACACTCCTCACAGGCCAAAAGGACCGAGGAGATTGTTGGTGAGTGTTGAGTGAGTGAGGGAGTGAGTGAGGGAGGGAGGAAGAGGAGGAGGACGAGTGCAACCTTGAATAAGGCTACAGCCGCTACAGGTGCAAGCTGAACAGCAGATGACCTTAATGGTGCATTAAATCCAGATGCTTAAACAGACTTAACATCAATCCCCAGCCACCAACCTCAAAGCCACACACAGTGTGTGTGTGTGTGTGTGTGTGTGTGTGAAATGGCTGCATATTGACGGTGACTAATCCGTAGACTGTAGGCACAGGGCTTCTGTAGTAAACTCAGATAGGAGGGGCATCCTGAAAGAGAGCATGGGAATGGGTGTCCAGGATGGGATAGCCAAAATATCATGTCATCATCTGTGTGTGTGTGTGTGTGTGTACGCATGTGTGTGTGTGTGTGTGTGCGTGTGTGTGTCTACGTCTGACACAGAGAGAGGGAGAACAATAGCACTTGCCTCAAAAACAGGAATTGTCTGTATCCTGAGCCAGAGGCCTGAGTCCACTTTCTTCACACACACACACACACACGCACACACACACTCTGTGAACGCTTCTCTTTGCCCTTTGCCCATATGAGGATGTCACATGTGTGCTTTCCTCCAAAGTTAAACCCCACCTGTGCCAGCTGCTACCGTAACAGAAGAGCAAAACAACAAAGGAAGAGGAGAGACAGATGGATACAAAGGAATATCTCAGTGTTAAACAGTTCTCTGTTTATTTAAATGTCCCACAACAGGACTCTCTGTCTGTACATTTTTTTTTTTTTTACACATGCTGAAACACTCTTAAACGTTTTGCATTTGGATTTTGCTAGAGTGTAAAGCAATTTTATATATATATATATATATATATATATATATATATATATATATATATATATAGTGCTATGTGTGGGCAAATGTGTTCCATATCCACAACTAACAACAGCGCAAGACAGTAGCTTACAAAGAATAAACACAAGTGCCAGGTTGTGTATATAATGGCATATTTCTTTTACCGCGTACTGCGTCAGTGCTACATACTGTCGTGCAGTGCAAGATGTGACGATTATAACTTGGCATACTACAGTCATGTGGACGCAGTTCCCTCAGAATGACCTCATAACTGCCTCATTTTTGTCCAGATTTTCATAGTTTCTGTAATCCCAAATGTCTTTAACAGTGGATAAAGCCAAAAAATGCTGTAATAAGGTGGAGAACAGGGCTTTAAAGCAGTCCAGAAAGACTTTAACTTAATTTGGGAACAGGAATGCAACATGAATACAATGATGGCAAAGCTATTATAAATAGCTAATGTTCCCTTCATCACAGCCAGTTCAATAGTACTAAGATTATTATAATTATAATATAATGTTAGTATTATTAAAAAATAGTATAATTCTAAGAATTGTTGCAAAAAGCAATTGAGAAAAATAGGCATATAACCACTCATCTCAATCATTTCCAAAAATAGTCATCATAATGTATTCATACATAAAAGAACACACAGAATGACCTTTAAAATTAAATTTATGGAGCACACAGAGACATTTATAGTAATAATTGTGTATCTCTGACTGGGCACTTTCACATTAAGTTCTCTGAACATTTTTAATTGGTAGCTTTTTTTAAATTAAAAATCAATTCCAGGTCAACTGTGAGTAGAGACGCTGCTTCTTAAATGTATTTATTAGTTGTATGTATTACTTAAGTGTATGTCCTGTTAGCCATCTAGTATCCTTTTTTTCTCTCTATTCGAAGCTCTATCCTAATCGTATCGTTTAGTTTTATCAGATTAGTTTAATTCATATCTACAGCGCCATGCACTGTTCGGGGATGTGACCTTACCATGACCCTGCTGTCTCTCTCCACCGATCCGACACAGGCTCCTGGGAAAGTGGGAAAACACACCAACCAAACAACCCTGGGAGCTTGTGCCAAGTGCGTCTCTCTGATTAGTTAGAGAGAAACTTGTGTGAGTCATTGTTATGAGTGAGCCATTTATTACAGAACCCTGAATCACAAATTGTGGAAAAAAATGTTTTAAAAGTGTTGTTATTTTGACTTATATCTCATTATTCAGACTTAATAATTCACCATTTTACATCGTATGCCATTATTTAACTTTGTATCTCATTCTTTCTAGTTAATATGTACTACTGTACCACTAAGCGCAGGGTTGGCAGTTTGATCCCCGGCCCCTCCACATGCTGAAGTGTCCTTGGGCAAGACACTGAACCCCAAGTGGCTCCCGATGGCAGGCTAGCACCTTGCATGGCAGCTCTCTTGCCATTGGTGTGTGAGTGTGTGTGTGTGAATGAGAAACAGTGTAAAGTGCTTCATAGAACCACTAAGGTTAAAAGGCACTATATAAGTGCTGACCATTTACTATATATCTATAAAACCAATTTATTGAATGTTAGTATATAATTCTTATTCCATATGCAAGTTCCCAAATAGTAAGTACACCAGGCTTTGCTTTAGTGGAATTCAGTTAAGACATATCTAATGATTGGTAATTCAATTAAATGCCTTCAGGTATAGTCAAGGTTTGTCTCCTTAAATTGATGGAATTCTGTAGAGCTTATAGTGGTCATTTTAACCATTTGGATTGGAAGTTCTTTCCTGAATAGCCTAAATACAGCAATTGCTAAGAACAGTTTACACTCAAGTCTCCATCACGGAACAGTTGATAGCTTCAGCTTTGTACAAGAAACTTAAAGTTAAAACTCTAGTGATGCTCATACTCAATTTTAACACACGTAGCACTGCTTGACTATATAGTATATAGTTACGGAATGGAAATTATTTATAATCGCAATCTGGTGTCACCCAGATGAGGATGGGCTCCTTTTGAGTCTGGTTCCTCTCAAGGTTTCTTCCTCATGTCATCTCAGGGAGTTTTTCCTTGTCACCGTTGCCTCTGGCTTGCTCATTAGGGATAAATTTAAATTAAAATTTTATATCCGGATTTCTGTAATGCTGCTTTGTGACAATGTCCACTGTTATAAGTGCTAGGCAAACTTGTATACAGTATATTTGTATATAATAAATTTGAGTTGAATTTCATACACACATACATATACATATATGTCATATGTCAAAATAACGAAATAATATGTTTAAAATAATAATTAATTAGTACACTACTTACAAATATATTCTTCTTCTCATCATGAGGCATAACAGAAAATTGTTTTTCAGAAACAAATGGTAAAATAAAAAAAGATGGCGGAAAATGATAAAAAAAAAAATAAGGAGAGAAAAAAGGGCAGTGAGCAAGGGAACTTTAAATCTTTAAATCAGTGGAGTGAAGAGAGGATGAGTGGTAATATAGGAGACTATAGGAAGCAGGATGAAAGAGGAATAACACCACAACTTAGGGTGATAGCGAGTGCATGGAATGTCCAAAAAAGCACCCCACAGAGGAGGGTCAAGGGTTGTGATAAATATTTTTCACCACTGTGTTTGTTGTTATTCTTCTTTCGGCTGCTCCCGTTAGGGGTCGTCACAGCGAATCACTGGTCCACATATTGATTTGGTACTGTTTTTACCCTGATGCCCTTCCTGATGCAACCCTTTCCAGTTTTATCCAGGCTTGGGACCGGCACTGGAAGTGCACTGTCTTGTCCAACCCCAGTGGCAGAGGTTGGTTCTCTGGCTGGGATTCGAGCCCAGGCCGCGGTGGTGAGAGCACCGTGGTCTAACCACTAGTCCTCCAGGGACCCATTTTTCACCACTGTGTTTAATAAAAAAATTATTCATGCATATTACAAGCAAAATACAGTGGATATAAAAAGTCTACACACCCTTGTCAAAATTGTAGGTTTTTGTCATGTAAAAAATGAAACAAAGATGAATCATGTCAGATCTTTTTTCACCTTTAATGTGGAAATATTTAATAATCTTTATTAATAAAATATTTAAGAAAGAACACCTGTCCAGGCTGAAGAGAAGCAGTTCAGCATGATGCTGCCACCACCATGTTTCACTGTGGGTATGGAGTTCTTTGGTGATAAGCTGCCTTGTTTTTGTGCCGAACATACAGTATCTTTTACAATTATTTTGCCACACGGTTTGGGTGATTTAGGTGGGCTTGGATGTTTTTTTTTGTTTGTTTTTGTTTTTTTTCCTTGAGATGCTGCCTACCCCATGGTCCCTTCATCTGAAGAATATGAGTGATTGTTGTCACATGCAGGGAGTAACCAGTACTTGCCAGATATTCCTGCAGCTCCTTTAATGTTGCTGTAGGTTTTTTAACCCCGTTTTTTCCACTTGGTGATGGTGGCCTTCCCATATCTATCTATCTATCTATCTATCTATCTATCTATCTATCTATATAATATAATATAATATAATGACACCCAAATTACACCAAATGTCTTTGAGTTTATTATGAGATGTCTGCAGACTTTTGTTCTCTTTTTTTAGTTCACTTTTGCTTCAAAAGTGAGCATGAAACAAAATCACAGTCTGTCTCTAGTCGTTCCGTGCTTTGTGCATCACAGTTATTGGTGTTTTATTTAATTGGCACATGGTGGGGTATCGCTCCCAGCTGTGTCGTGCCATTTCCACTGGCCCTTTGGCGGAGACAGGAATCAATTTTAACAAGCCCAATGTGACCTACTGTAAAACGCAGCAGGGGTAAATGGCTTTAGTCTAGACCGGAACCCAATGACCTGGTTCTCAATAATTTTTTTTAAATTGTACAGGTGGTGTATCAGCTCTAACCATCACCTGAGCGTGTGGGAACATATCTTCATACACTAAAACAAATGGCTTACTCTCATTTTTATAGCCATGTTCTGCAATAAATCTAGGTGGTCCTAGAGTTTGCAGTGTGCACACTATGTAGTTTAGTAGTATAGGCTGTGGTTTTCGATGTAAGCTAGACTTAAAAAACATATTAAATGTAATTAGACTATCATATAACAGTCTCTTTATTGTTGATGACAGAATTATGAAAGGCTATTTAGTATTGTAGAATGATATTTTTGTACATTCTTAAAAATCTGCAAGTAATAATGACAGTGCATGGGTTTGGGTTGAGTGATCCAATCCAATATGGCTTTGTTTTAGATGATAATTATCTAAGTTCACAATTATTCAGGTCCTCCTTTACGTATGAGATGAGAACAAATCATCATTGAAAAACTATTCTGTAACAGACTGAAAGAAGTGATGAATGCCTATTTGACTGATTTCAGCAGGCTGTAGTGGTGAATATGCCTTCTGCAAATTCCTCTACATGACTGATTAAACGCAGACAGCAGTATATATGGGACATAGGCCGCTTACAGCAGAGCTTATTGACTGTCACAATTTAGGGTGAAGATAACGAGGTCAACATGTGCCTATGCTTAGTACAGTCATCCACACACAACAGATATCAGAGATCATCGGGACATCTCTTTATACAACAACAACAAAAAAAATAATTTGTTAAATTTTTCATAGTAGAACAGTTATGGGAACATCTTAGAGACTAAAATGAATTGCTTGCTTTTCTTTTTTCGAATAGCCTACTGTATTGCACCCTCAGTACTATATTTATAGGAATGTACCAGGCTTTTAATCTCACACAGGCTTTTGAACTCAGATAACAGCATTGTAGTGATGATCATTTAAAGTGTCCATAATTACAGTAGTTTGAGTGATAAATATACTTTACTGCTGTAAATTATCATCAATGTGGCACAGTGACAAAGCAGGTAGCGTTGATGCCTCACACTTCCAGGACCACTGATTTAATCCTGAGCTTGGGTGACTGTCTGTGCAGAGTTTCACATGTTCCTCCTGTGTCCATGTGGGTTTCCTTCAGGTCCTCTGGTTTCCTTGTACCTCTAAAATACATGCAGAATACATGGTAGGTAGATTGAGTAGGATAAATTGCCCCTAGGTGTGAATGAATGTGTGACCAGGATAAAGTGGTTACTGCAGATGAATGAATGATAATTATCATCAGTTTTTGAGGTTTACATTTTATCACCATTAGTGAATTGTACTGGAAAATGTGTTTTGTGTTCATGGCTACTCATGGATAGCTCATTCAGTCGTGTTTCATCAGTATTTGCACTATCTAGCTCAGAGCATGTTTTGGAAAGTGGGCTGTACCCAGAAACAGGAAGAATATGAGAAAATCCACATATACAGTAAGCAAAGGTCTGGATCATTCCACAGACTCTGGATCTATGAGGTGGCAATGCGACCCACTGTGCCACCATGTCACCTCATAGATAGCTAGACTTCTTTATTAGCCTTTAATGATAAAACTGCCATTGCATGAATAGAATATATTCTTTATTGATGTATATGAATGATGAATATGGTACCTTATGGTTACATATCATGACCTTAGCATAATAAGGTTCTATCTGAGTTAAGAACACATGGGAGAAACTTATATTACAAAAGTCATGATATGGTGCCATTTTATATGGTTTAAATAAATGGGCTCGAGTTCAATGAAACCAGAAGTGAAATGAAGCCTTTGTTGTTGTTTTCATAATATTTGCAATGAGGGCATGGTGGCTTAGTGGTTAGCACGTTTGCCTCGCACCACTGAGGTTGGGGGTTTGATTCCTATCTCTGCCCTGTGTGCATGGAGCTTGTATGCTCTCCCTATGCTTCGGCGGCTTCCTCCCCCAGTCCAAAGACTTGTGTTGTAGGCTGACTGGCATCTCTAAAGTGTCCATGGTGTGTGTGTGTGATTGTGCCCTGTGATGCCTGAGTCCCCTGGGATAGGCTCCAGGCTTCCCATGACCCTGTGTAGGATAAGCAGTAAGATAGATTGATTATTTCTAATTTGTATTTTTTTTTTAAATTTCTTTACACATTTACAGCATTTTCTTTTTAGCATAGTTTATGCATGCTTTAATTATTAATATTTCTTCATGAAATTTTGCATTTATGTTGATTTGTTGAGCTGGTCTCAGTAAGGCTTCAGAGATAATAACATACATCTCAATTAGCATACATAAGTCAGTCAGGGGCAGGTTTGTGGCTTGTGGACATCATAAACAACAGCCTGGTCTGTTTCTATACACTCTATACTGATAACATGGATACTGTATGTTAGTCTTGCACATCTGACTTGCATTGTGAAAGGCCCATGCTGAACAGGACCATATGTAACCTATCGCTGCCTCGGAACAAGAGGCCAACCGTTCAGAATGCAAAACACACAGCCTCAGTAATGTTCAAACCATGCAGACCTGGTTTTACAGATTATGTATTGCAATTATGTTTCAGAAGTATGAGAGATGTTATGAGTTCAGCAGAAATGTCTGTGTGGTCTTTCCTCTCTGTGGCTGAATGGAGTAAATTAACCAGAATTGTTGCCCTTTAGCAGAAGAACTGAGGTTGTTACAAATCCAAATTCAAATTGTATTGGTCATACACACAACCATACACAGGACGACATGCAGTGAAATGCTTTTTTGACTGTCCGTGACATAAAATAGAATTTTATGCTTAGTACATTCCTCCACACACACACACACACACACATACAAAACAGTTATCAGAGATCATGAGGACATCTCTGTGTATGCTGAAGCCTGAAACCTTGCAAACTGCATGCAATAAAACAACTTTTGGGTGTCATGTATATAGTTTATATGAGCCGAGTATAGCAGGCAATTTACAGTAAGTTTTTTTTTTTTTTTTTAACCAGAGGAGATATGTAACAACACAGCAGACCGTGTGGTTATACAAAAATAATCTACTTTTGGGGGGGTCATGTGATTAGTGCTGATTATTTTTTGTATAACCACATAGTCTTGAGTGTGTTATCCCACTTGTACCACAGCTATTTCATTCATTATAATGTTTATTAATGAATACCACGTCAAACACTTTAATTGTTATAATTAAGATTTAATGTTGTGGAACATTTGAGAGACAAGTTATTTCCTGTTACTAACTTCCTGTTACCTGTTATTTACATCAGAGTCATGATAAACCTTCCCTCACCAACATCTTCTCTCTCTCTCTCTCTCTCTCTCTCTCTCTCTCTTAAAAAACCCAGTTTGTCATTTTACTGAGAAACCAGAAAGCATAAACTCTCTCCTGAAGACTTTCCTGAGCTGGGAAACTTTGCAAAGCACCATGACTGTTACAAAGTGCTTATAACTGAGACTCCTTCCATAAATGTTAAATAAATGTCTCCTGACAAAAAAAAAAAAAAAAATGTCACCACACCACAACTAATCTCTGACCAATCAGAATCGAGAATTCAGCCACAGTGTGGTATAAGAGTATATACTGTGTTGTGATAGAGAATCAGGGCTGACTATCATGTTCTCATTATGGCAGAATTGGCATTTGCTGTTTTGCTATATTGATATTGCAGGAGGCTGTTTTTATGCAAATGAATCCTCAAATACATTATTTTATCCTGATTAATTCCAGATGACAAATTCCAGTTTCTGTGTCAAGAATTCATGCCATTCACATGATAAAAAAAGAGTATACAGAGTACTGAAGTGATATTTAGAAGGCTTTTTGTTGGGTTTTTAATATTTTGTAAGGCATACCAAAGATACAGTTTTTTCTTCCTATGTTACAGCAGTATCACAGCCCTGTAGTGTATTGGCGCAGACATGCTTAATGTGTTAGGACATTTTGTGATATTTTCTTCCTGACCTCAGTGCTCCTTTCTCTCTCGATCCCTGTGGCACCTGCCAACCTTTGACCTTTGTCCCCTACAGGCGTGGCAGCCAAA